AACAAGCAAGAACTCAGAGATTTTATTACCACCAGGCCTGCTTTACAAGAGCTTCTGAAAGAAGCATTACACACAGAAAGAAACAACCAGTATTAGCCTTTCTAAAAATACACCAAAAAGTAAAGAGCACCAACATAAAGAAGAATTTACACCAACGAATGGATACAACAGCCAGTCAACATCAAATGGCAGTAACCCTAAATTTAAATTGACTAAATCCCCCAATCAAAAGACACAGCCAAAACCCAATGGCATGTTACATCCAGACCTGTTTCACATGCAAGGATACACAAAGACTCAAAACAAAGGGATGGAGAAAGATTTACCAACCAAATGGAGAGCAAAAATAAATAATAAATAAATAAAAAGCAGGAGTTGCAATTCTCGTATCGGATAAAATAGATTTTAAAGCAACAAAGATATAGTGATAAAAGGATCAATGCAACAACAAGAGCTAACGATCCTAATACCCAGATACGAGACTTAGATGCAATGAGACAGAAAATTAATAAGGATATCAAGGACTCGAACTCAGATCCGGAACAAGTAAACTTAATAAATATTTATAGAGCTCTCCACTTCAAATACACAAAATATACATTCTTGTCAATACCACATCACACCTACCCATAAGCTTAAATGAAACATTGATTGGCCATCATTAATACCCAATTTTTTTCAAAATAAAGCGATATTTCCATTTACTCTCCCTCTTTCTCTTCCTCTTTCTTCCTCTCCTTTACTTATTTTTTTTTTCTTTCCTTCTCTCAAAAAAAAAGAAATCAACTTTTAAACCTCTAGATCCAGGTCGGCAATGTCTCTCTCATTGCTTGATTTCCTTTCTTCCCTTCCCTCCCTCCCTCCCTCTCTCCCCGCTTCCTTCCTTCCTTCCTTCCTTCCTTCCTTCCTTCCTTCATCCCTTCCTTCCTCCCTACCGTCCTTCTTCCCTCCCTTCCTGCCTTCCTCCCCCCCCAAAAAAAGAAGAAATTATAATGAAAATTAGAAAATATTGTGAACTAAATGACCTGATGAAAGTTCTAATCTATTTGTCAATTTGTCTATGACAACATCAATATTATACTATATTCATCAAAATTGCTTTATTATATTTTAATGGAACAAGTTCTCTTATCTTCTAATTACCATCAGTCTTGGCTATTTTGACCCTTTTCATATAAATACTGAATCAATATGTTAGGGTGTAGTATCTTATTTATACTGAAATATTAAAAATATGACATAAAAACTTGCTTAGTGGAAACTTACACCTTGAAATGCATAAAGTAGTATGCATAGGATGTTTGAAAAAATCATAAACTAGTATCTATGTTAAGAAACATAAACAATATCAAATTAGATTCAAAGACAAGAAAAGGTAGGAAATAATGGTCAGAAAATGAACTAGAAATTGGGATCAATGAGATTAACTTGATAATCTAAGACAGGTCAAAGAAAATAAGAGAAAAAATCCACATGTCACTCATAATAGATATAAAAAGATATGAAACCATAGATCCTACAGATACAGATATTTTAAAAATAATATGGGGATAGGAATAATTTTATGACACTGAATTTGATAACTCTGATGAAATGAACTAAAAGTATCACTTATTAAAAAACCACATAAGATGAATAAAAAATATGAATACCATTATACCCAGAAAAAAATTAAATTCATAATTTAAAACCTTCAGCAAAAGAAACTTCAAGCTCAGCTTCCCTGGTGAACTCTTCTAAACATTTAGAAAACAACTAAGAGCAATCTTATACAAAATTCTAAGAAATGGAAAATAGGGGACCATTCTCAACTTATCTTATAATATCAGACTAACTCTGATACCAAGAACTGACAAGAACATTATAAAAAAGGAAAATCATAAGCCAGTATCTCTTATCAAGATAAACTCAAAAGCTCTAAACAAAATATAGCTAATGAAATCAAGACATAAATTTTTAAAATATCACATACACATGGTATTTATTATAGGAATTCAAGCTTAATTTAACAAAGACAATTAATGTAATTCACTACATCGCATAACAGACACAGACATATGATTATTTCAGTAGACGCACAAAAGTAGGTATGAAATGTAAAAGTCATTCCTGATTAAAGGAAAAAAGCAAAACCAAAAACCTCTCAGCCACATAGGAGTAGAAGAAAAATGCCTTAATCTAATAAATGGTATCTACAAATATAGCTAATATTACACTTATTGTTAAAATACTGAAAGCTTTCTCCTGAAGTTACTGAAAACCCATGTTCAGAAACAAATGTGCACAAATATGTTTATAGCAGTTTTATTCATATTTGCTAAAAACTGAACCATCCAAATGTCCTTTAATTAGGGAATGGATAATATGGATAATGGAATGTTAATCAGCAGTAAAAGGAATGAACCACCGATTCATTCCACCATACAGATGAATCGCACATGAATTATCCTAAATGGAGTAAGCCAGACCTAAATGGTGACAGAGCCTTTGTCAAGAGTTGGGTAGAGGGAAGAGTTGACTCTAAAGAGATAGAGAAAATTATCTGGGGTAATGGAACAGTTCTAAATATTGATTGTGGTAGTAGTCATAACATGACTGTATAAATTTATCACAAGTCACAGAGCAGCAGATTGAAAGGGTGAATTTTACTGTATGTAGATTATACCTCAATTATTTTTAGTGATAAAAAGTATTTATATAGCATTATAAAACCTGATAATCTAGCAATCAACCTAAGTGATATGTTGGCAAATGTTTAACAACCAGCTTGTGGCAGTGGGTGGGTGGGGAAAAAGTCCTGATTTGCAGTATTTGCCAACTTCTGTGATATAAATAATACCACCATGGCCCACTCCAATCTCACAATGTGATTTACTGAATGTGAAGCCCGGAAGAGATGTACCCGATCAACTCTCATGAACTAATAGGAGCTGGCTCCAACATACCACTGAAATCTAATGAAAGATATTTAAGACCTCCGCAGAAAAACAGGAAACATTACTGAAAGAGGGATATACAGTTCTCAGATTAGAAAACGCTATATTGTAAATGTATTGATGCTCCCCATTGATCAATAGATTGATTATAACCCAAAGCATGCTGGGCGCGGTGGCTCACACCTGTAATCCCAGCACTTTGGGAGGCCGAGGTAGGTGGATCGTGAGGTCAAGAGATTGAGACCATCCTGGTCAACATGGTGAAACCCCGTCTCTACTAAAAATACAAAAAATTAGCTGGGCATGGTGGCACGTGCCTATAATCCCAGCTACTCAGGAGGCTGAGGCAGGAGAATTGCCTGAACCCAGGAGGCGGAGGTTGCGGTGAGCTGAGATTGCACCATTGCACTCCAGCCTGGGTAACAACAGCGAAACTCCGTCTCAAAAATAAATGAATAAAAATAAAAAAATAATCCAAAGCAAATTCTCAGCAATCTCTCTTATACAAATTAACAAGTTTATTTCTCTGTTGCATAAATTTTTATTATGCAAATTAATAAGCTTGTATGGAAAGGCAAGAAGCCAAGAATAACAAAGACAACCTTGAAAAGCAACAAAACTGGGGAACTTACACTCACAGACACCAACAGATAATGAAAATCTGCAGTAATTAAGATAGAGTGAGGTTGTCACAAGAATAAACAAACAGAGCCATAGAAAAGACTACAGACCCACATAGATACAATCATCTGATTTACGACAAAGGTGCCACTGCAATAAATGAGAAAAGGAGATCTTTTCAATAAATGATGCTAAATCAACTGAATATTCATATGTGGGGGAAATGAGCCATTACCCTCAGCTCTTACCATACACAAAAACCAGTTCCAAATAAATCATAGACCTATGTCTGGAGGAGGAAAAGTAGACAAAAGATACAAATAAGCAATTGACAAAACCCACAATATTAAATGACTCCGCACATATAAAAAGATATTTACTGTCACGCAAATGAAAATGGAAAAATATATTGATAACTTTTTCACATATTGGATTTACAAAGATCAAAAGTGTAATAATTCTTTTCACGAGTTCAGATGTAAACTTGTACTCACAGATACTGCAGGTGGGAATTAAAATGGATAGAGCATCTTTGGGCTGCAATTGGGCAAATAACTACAAAAAACACAAATATATGTATTCGTGACCCAGCAATGCTATTTCAAAGACTTCATTTGCAGGTATACTCATATATATGCAAAATGCCAGAAGCAATGTAAATGTCCATCATGAGAGACTAATTAATAAATTATGGTTCATCCTCTTGTGAAATATAATTGTAAAGAATGAGGAAATTCATTTGGAACAATTGCCCAATATATATCATAAGAAATAACTCAAGGTATAATACAGTGTGTAAAATATAACTCTGAAAAAAAGAAGAGTGTGGGAGAGTGTGTTTGGCATGTTTAAGGAATAGCCAGGAGTACAGTATGCATGGAGCAGGTTGAAAAGGTTATGAGGGGCCAGGTCAGGAAGAAGAGTAAGAGCAAATATATGAAAGGATTTGGAACAGAATGGATACTATGGGTGAAAGAAATAGAAAAGACTTCAGTGGATGTTGGTATCTGATTATCCTTTCCTTCTCTACCTTTGTATACTACGTGTGGGTTAGGTAGATAACTCTGGAACTTTATATGTTCAAGGCTCTTGAAGAGTTACACATGAAATTAATGAAGAGGAAGGAAACTGTCTTACGTATGACTTAAGTAGGCTGCAAAATAAAACAAATACCTGAGTTGTGATATTTGTTTATCACTCAGTATCAAATACTGAGATGCTTTATAGAAAGAAGTCTCATTCTGTCAATGTTAAGCAAAATACCATAGTAAATATTCCTTCTTCGTATGGAGACTTTTAAAAATACAGAAATAATTTGTTATTAAATGAAAAAATAAATAATAGAACAGAACAACTTTGTGAAATATTTCTGAATATATAGTCATTGTTTGTATGTCACTGAAAGTTAAGAAAGAAACCTATCATTAACATCAGCCCGCTTTTTTAGCGCCATCTGCTCGCGGCGCCGCCTCCTGCTCCTCCCGCCGCCTCCTGCTCCTCCCGCCGCCGCTGCCGCCCTGAGTCACTGACTGCGCAGCTCCGGCCGCCTGGCTCCCCATACTAGCCGCCGATATTTGGAGTTCTTACAACATGGCAGACATTGACAACAAAGAACAGTCTGAACTTGATCAAGATTTGGATGATGTTGAAGAAGTAGAAGAAGAAGAAACTGGTGAAGAAACAAAAATCAAAGCACGTCAGCTAACTGTTCAGATGATGCAAAATCCTCAGATTCTTGCAGCCCTTCAAGAAAGACTTGATGGTCTGGTAGAAACACCAACAGGATACATTGAAAGCCTGCCTAGGGTAGTTAAAAGACGAGTGAATGCTCTCAAAAACCTGCAAGTTAAATGTGCACAGATAGAAGCCAAATTCTATGAGGAAGTTCACGATCTTGAAAGGAAGTATGCTGTTCTCTATCAGCCTCTATTTGATAAGCGATTTGAGATCATTAATGCAATTTATGAACCTACGGAAGAAGAATGTGAATGGAAACCAGATGAAGAAGATGAGATTTTGGAGGAATTGAAAGAAAAGGCCAAGATTGAAGATGAGAAAAAGGATGAAGAAAAAGAAGACCCCAATCAGTGATATGGTTCAGGAACATGATGAACCTATTCTGAAGCACTTGAAAGATATTAAAGTGAAGTTCTCAGATGCTGGCCAGCCTATGAGTTTTGTCTTAGAATTTCACTTTGAACCCAATGAGTATTTTACAAATGAAGTGCTGACAAAGACATATAGGATGAGGTCAGAACCAGATGATTCTGATCCCTTTTCTTTTGATGGACCAGAAATTATGGGTTGTACAGGGTGTTAGATAGATTGGAAAAAAGGAAAGAATGTCACTTTGAAAACCATTAAGAAGAAGCAGAAACACAAGGGACGCGGGACAGTTCGTACTGTGACTAAAACAGTTTCCAATGACTCTTTCTTTAATTTTTTTGCCCCTCCTGAAGTTCCCGAGAGTGGAGATCTGGATGATGATGCTGAAGCTATCCTTGCTGCAGACTTCGAAATTGGTCACTTTTTACGTGAGCGTATAATCCCAAGATCAGTGTTATACTTTACTGGAGAAGCTATTGAAGATGATGATGATGATTATGATGAAGAAGGTGAAGAAGCGGATGAGGTAATGTTTACCAAATGAGCAAATATGTTTAACACATTGAGAAGCAAATTGAATGACTTATGTATTCCTTTGCTATAATCATTCTGTGATTTGGGATAAAAAACATTTTGGAAAATATGATTTTAGAATTCTACAGCCAAACAATGTATGTATAAGGTTTCAATAAATAAATTGCAAAACTCAAAAAAAAAAAAAAAAAAAACATCAGCCCACACATATAATTATAGTAATCAACATTTACATATAAACATATTTAGAAAAGCTACAATCTAAATGTCTATCAACTAATAAATGGACAGATAAAATGTGGTATATCCATAGAATAAAATATTATTCAGCAATAAAAAGAAATGCAATACCAATACATTCATCCAATAGGATGAATCCTGAGAACACTGTTAAGAAGCCAGTAACAAGGGCCACATATTGTACAATTCTATTTACATAGAAATGTATAGAATTAGGCAAATTTACAGAAACAGAAAGTAGATTGGTGGTTACCCAGAGCTGGGGAGTAGGAAGGGCGTAGAGGGTGATGGCCAACAGGTATAAGGTTTCTTTTGAGAGCTAATGAAAATGTTCTAAAATTATAATAATTTTATAATTATATATACTAAATATACTCTGAATATACAAAAACCAGTTAATTGTACACTTTAAATGGGTAAATTGCATGGAATATAAATTAAATTTCAATAAAGCTGTTAAAAAACTGTTTAGAAAAACTTCAGTTTCTGTAAAATAACAAAACTGAAAAACTAGGGTAAAAATATTTAGAGAGCAGAGACTGTCTTATTCATCTTTGCATTTAAAAACTTATAACAGAAGCTCACACACAGTAGATGCTCAATAAATATTGATTTACATAAATTTAATACAAATAACTGAAAAATATTGGACTGCAAGTATTGGACTCCAATATTACTAAGAAAAATGTTATGCACTTGACTCATTATTCATAACTATATATTATCTACATAATAAATATCCTTGCTAATCTAAAATAGGCTGGGCATGGTAGCTCACATCTGGAATCCCAGCACTTTGAGAGGTTGAGGCGGGAGGATTGGTTGAGCTCACCAGTTTGAGACAAGCCTCAGCAACATAGCAAGGTGCCATCTCTACAAAAAAATTAAAATATTAGCCAATATGGTGGCACATGCCTGTAGTCCCAGCTTCTTGGGAGGCTGAGGCAAGAGGATCACTTGGGTCCAGAAGTATCAGATTACAGTGATCTATGATCATGCCACTGTGCTTCAACCTAGGTGATAGAATTTTTCTCAAAAAAAATTTTTTAATTCAAAAATCCTTTGGAATGCATACCAGGTTTCCTTAGCACCAGATTTCTTTTTTCTTAAATATGTTTTGCTAAATTAAACTCATAATTCCCAGAATACTATGGAAATCTTAAAAAGATAGGGGGCAAGAAAAGGTCAGAAGCAAACCAGATCGAAATTAGCATCTTACTATGTATAATACAAATGTGCAGCTCACAAGGAAAGAACCAACTATACAGATACTCCTCAACTTACAATAGGGTTAAATTCTGATAAACCCATGGTGAGTTGAAAATATATGCTGAAAATGCATTTGATACACCTAATCTACTGAACATTATAGCTTAATCTACCCTACCTTAAACATCCTCAAAACACTTACATTAGTCTACAATTGGGTGAGATAATTTAACACAAAGCCTATTTTATAATAAAGTGTTGAATATCTTTTGTAATTTATTGAATACTATATTAAAAGTGAAAAAAAATAATGGTTATGTGGGTACTTGAAGTAATGATTTCTACTGAATATGTATCACTTTCACACCATTGTAAAATTGAAAACCCATAGGTCAAACCATCATAAGTTGAGGACAGTCTGTATATCATTTCACCTTTTTATATACTTGGTCTTATATTCAATCACTATAGGGGCTTTGGGGACTTTTTCATTCTATATGGTGTTCTGAGTTACTGGAAGCTGGCATTCAGCTACTGAATTTTGACATGTAGAAAGGTAACTGTCAAAAATTTCAAATGTGGAGAATAATCATATTAATATACTAGAAATGCTGTAGAAGTGTATTTCTAATTTTCTTAATTGTAAGCTTTGTAAAATAAAAAAATTTTTTAAAGTCTATATTCTTTCAGCGTAAACTAAGTGAGATGACAAATTCTTAGTATATTGCAGCCATTACAGAGAAAAAAACATAACACTAAGGAAACTATCTCTTCGCAACTAAAAAGCAACTATTACTTTTTCCTAAACTATTGTGTCTCTTCCTAGCAGCAGAATTTAAAGAGAATAACATAAAAAACATTGGATGAATGAAAAACTGAGAATGACTTCCAAAGTAACAGCAAAAGAGTTTATATATAGACAAATAGAGATAAGGAAACAAAAAATATAAACTCATAAAGATGAATCTTAACAATGTTGGCAACAGTAGAGATATAAGATATTATATATAATGTATCTCAAAACACTTCTGTACAGACTCTCAGATAGCTCTGCTGTTAATGATAGCCTTGAAGAAGAGAGTTAAAATGATTAATGCAGATCCTGCAACAAAAGGCCTTGGAAGAAGTGAAGTCAGTCATTTATATAACAAGCTGTTTATTTATATTGGACACAAAAGAATTCCATAAACCATTCAATAGATGTCTCTAGAAGAAAAACAACATGAGGGTACTGTGCATGCGTGCACAAGAGAGAGAAAGTGAAAGAGAGAGAGAGTGTGTGTGTGTTTGTGTGTGTAGAAAAGTCACTAATAAAAAAAGAAAAACAAATGGCAAATAGACATGGCGGGGAGGTTAAGTCTTTCTAGTAATTAAAGATGAACTGATTAAAATAAATAACCTTCCTAAATCAAGGACCAGAGAAATAATCTTTTTGATTATCATAACTTGTAAAAGCTAACATATATATATATATATATATACACACACACACACACACACACACATATATATACACACACACACATACACATTCAGTATTGAAAACAATGGAAAACATTTAAAAATACATATACCTTTTACTAAACGATTCCATGTGTATTTATTTACACAGAGGTTCAAAACAGCATTATTTACATAGTAACAAATTGGAAACAATCTAAATGTTTAACTGTAGGATACTATAAATAAATTATGTCACAGCTCTATTATACAAAATATGCAACCATTCCAAATCATGGTATAGAAAAAAACCTAATCATAAGAAAATATGTTCAGATGTTTTAAGGAAAAAAGCAAAAGCAGATGGAAAGTATAATTCCCACTAAGAAAAACAAATATATATGCATTTGTAGTCACTGAAAAAAGTCAGTTTTAGACACAATTACTTTCCAAAGAATTACCTGGTCCTTTAATCATCTTTGAGTCAGCTATATTGAAAATGGTTGATTACTCTTTGTGCTGAATTTTGTCTGTGTCATGCTTAATTCTATCTCCACCATTCTAAGCTGTTCTCCATGTTGCAGAGGTTGGAAATATACTTCAGAGACTGTGAAACTACAGCACTACAATTCTTACAGTCCCATCTTGGGAGAACTCTCGTTTAGATTTTTTTAACGAAAAGGATTCATGACATTTGAAAGACAGAGTGAAGTTAAAGTCATTATTGCCTTCTAACAAAAAGAATAGATAGGTAAACTGACAGCAGCCATGAGACTTGCAGCACATGCCAAAGGCACAGAACTACACCAATTCATAGATAGTAGCTAACACTTCCATCAGATGATCAGGCACTTGGAAGAAGTATGTGATAGAGGTGTGGAACAGGCATGGAGTATAAGGATATTCAATACCAGGTGAATGTTTACCAAAGGGCATTCACTGCTGAGAAGCCTCTAGGTAATCAGGTAGACAAGGTGACTCATTTTATGGATATCAGTCAGCCTCCTTCCCCCGCTACCCCAGTTCAGTAGTCCGAGAAATGAAACAGGCAAAAGAAATATAAAGCATCTACATCAATATCAGATAAAATAGACTTTGGGGCAAAAAGTATCATGAGAGATAAAGAGGTCTGTGACATAAAAATAGAAGGTTAACTCATTAGGAAGATACAACAATTCCACATTTGTGTGAACTTAACATAGCTCAAAGGTCTATGAGCAAAATACACAGAACAGAAGGGGAAATGGACAAATCCACTTCATGTTTTTTTAAAAACATCTCTGAAAACGTTAAAGTATCTATCAGACATCAGTATTTGGTAGACCAAGCAGTCCAAAATCAGAGTATAGAAGATATTAACAATACATTTAGTAAGTTTGAACTAAGAGACATATATCACATACTGCATCTAAAGTCAAAAAACATGAAAAGCTTTTCAAATGCACATGGAATATTTATAAAAATTAAAAATGCATTAGGACGTAAATCAAATTTCAACGAAGTTAAAAACATGGGTGTTCTATAAGCATGAACTGCTCAATATTGTAGTCAGTAGCCATATGTGACTATTTAAATCAATCAAAAATTAAATTAAGTATTTGGTCTTCATTCTCACTTGCCTTATTTTAAGTGCTCAACAGCCACATATGACTAGTGGCTACATACTGGATGGTGCAGATACCAAACATTTCCATCACCATAGAAAGTGGGGCTATGCAACATATATTCTGACTAGAATAAAAGTAAGTATAAAATTGATAGCAAAATGTTAATTTAGAAAAATCCATACTTTTTCTACACTCATAGGTAAAAAAATATTATGGACACTGATATGGTCTGGCTCTGTGTCCTCACCCAAATGTCATCTTGAATTGTAACCCAAGTCGTAATTCCTATGCGTTGCGGGAGGGATCTCGTGGGAGGTGATTAGATCATGGGGGTGGCTCCCCCATGCTGTTCCCATGACAATGAGTGAGTTCTCATGAGATCTGAAGGTTTTATAAGTGGCTTTTCCCCTATTAGCTCTGCGCTTCTCTCTCCTGCTGCCATGTGAAGAAGGATGTGTTTGCTTCCCCTCATGCCATGATTGTAAGTTTCCTGAGGCTTCATGCATAACTGTGAGTCAATTAAGCTTCTTTCCTTTACAAATTACCTAGTCTAGGGTACATTTTATAACAGCGTGAGAATAGACTAATATGACACTTAAAATACTTAAAACTGAACAAGAATAAATCTACCACATATCAACATATATAGGATACAGCAAAATTGTTATGTAGAAAAAATACTCTTAAATGTATAGATCAGAAAAAGAAGAAAAGCTGAAAATGTATGAGCTCAGTATCCAACTTCTTAAGTATTGGTATTCAACTTCTTAAGTTACAAAGAATAAAATATAGAATAAACTAAAAGAAAGTATAAGAAAATAATGGAGTCCCAGCACGTTGGGAGGCCAAGGTGGGTGGATCACAAGGTCAAGAGATCGAGACCATCCTGGTCAACATGGTGAAACCCCATCTCTACTAAAAATACAAAAAATTAGCTGGGCATAGTGGAGCATGCCTGTAATCCCAGCTACTCCGGAGGCTGAGGCAGGAGAATTGCCTGAACCCAGGAGGCAGAGGTTGTGGTGAGCCAAGATCGTGCCATTGCACTCCAGCCTGGGTAACAAGAGCGAAACTCCATCTCAAAAAAAAAAATTTTTTTAAGTACAAACCATAAAGGAAAATATTGTTTAAATTGACTACATTTAAATACATAATGTCTATTTACTAAGATATACCATAGAGATCAAAGTCATGCATGAAGAGGTAAAAGAGATCTATAAGACAATCAGTAAAGGACTTAAGTGAAAAATATGTAAGAAAAAAAAAAACTCTTACAAAGCAAGAAGAAGAAGGTAACCGAATTTTAAAATGGGCAAAGAGCAAACAGGTACTGAGGAGGAAATATGAATGGACAGTAAATATATGCTCACACATCAATGGTAATCAGTAAAATGCAGATTGAAACCACAATGAGATACCATTTCCCACCTGTCATAATACCAAGTATGGTTAAATTAAGGATGTGGAGTGAACAAAATATCTTGTGGAAAAATGCATACTCTAGATTCCCTTTATCTTAGGTTCTTTCATGTAACACTAACTAATATATATTTTTAGGGATATATATTTATTTATAGCTAAACTGTAAAAATTATCAAGGGAATTAGCAATGTCAAATTAATGAAAGTGTTTACCTTTGCTGAGGGATAAGAACGGGTTGTCCTGGCCAGGCGCAGTGGCTCACGCCTGTAATCCCAGCACTTTGGGGGGCTGAGGTGAGTGGATCACCTGAGGTCAGAAGTTTGAGATCAGCCTGACCAACCTGGTGAAATCCTGTCTCTACTAAAAATACAAAAATTAGCTGGGTGTGGTGGTAGGCACCTGTAATCCCCAGCTGCTTGGGAGGCTGAGTCAGGAGAATCACTTGAACCCAGGAGGTGGAGCTTGCAGTGAACCAGGATCACATCACTGCATTCCAGCCTGGGCGACTGAGCAAGATTCTGTCTAAAAAAAAAACAAACAAACCAAAACAAAAAAATCCAGGTTATCCTAAAGGAAAGGCACACAAGGAGTGACAAAATATTGATAGTGTTCTGTTTCTTCATCTGGGGGGCACAGGTGCTCGGTATTCTTTTTTTTTTTAACTGAACACATATGTTTTATATGTTCTTTTGTACACATATATGTTTCATAAGAAATATTTATGTAAAAGAGGAAGATCCTTCAAATCTAAAATCTTTTTTTTATGACTGGAAGTACCACACAATGGATCATTTCCCTGGTGAGCATAGGTTCTGCTTATACTATAATCACTGATTCTAAAGATAATAAAGGCTCTAGAGTCTGAAATGGAGCAAAGGTGTAACCCATGAGTCATCAAGAGAAGGTAAGCAGATGTTAAGTATAAAAAATATATATCTATAAGAAAAGTGTATTTGAAAAGATGCAAGGAAGGCAAATTAAGTTTTAAAAATGTAGGGAAGGAAAATCTACAGTACATGTCTTATATATAGTACATATCCTACAGTACATGTATAACCAAGTAGAAATTTTTTTTTTTTAGATGAAGTCTCATTCTGAATGTCACCCAGGCTGGAGTAGAGTGGCGTGATCTTGGCTCACTGCAACCTCCGCCTCTCAGGTTCAAGTGATTCTCCTGCCACAGCTTCCCTAGCAGCTGCAATTACAGG